ATAAACTCCGCCTCGGTGGAAGAGAGTGCAACACATTTCTGCAACCGGGATTGCCATGAAATAGCTCCCCCTGCATTAGTTATCAAGTATCCAGAAGTAGACTTCCTATTATCAATATCTCCAGCCATATTAGAATCTGTATAACCAACAAGCTCCGGCTTATCAGTACCAAAGCACAACCTCATATTCGAAGTTCCCGAAAGATATTTCAGAATCCATTTCACTGCACTCCAATGCTCTTTGCCAGGATTCGACATGAATCTGCTGACAACACCAACTGCGTGAGCTATGTCCGGCCGAGTACACACCATAGAGTACATCAAACTTCCAACCGCTGAGGCATAAGGAATCCGCTGCATATCTTCCTTTTCTTTCTCAGTAGAAGGACACTGCTTCATACTCAATTTAAACGAAGCAGCAAGCGGAGTAGAAGTAGCTTTGGCCTTGTCCATGTTGAACCGCTGCAACACTTTTTCGATATATTTTTCTTGAGATAACCATAACTTTTTATCTTTCCTATTCCGAGAAATATACATCCCAAGAATACTTCTAGTTGGCCCCAAATCCTTCATCGCAAAATGTTTGCTCAACTCTTTCTTCAAATTATTTATTTTTGAGGCTGAAGAGCCTACAATGAGCATATCATCTACATAAAGAAGTAAGATGATAACATCAATACCTGAGAACCACTGCACGAAAACACAAGGGTCGGCATCAGTCTTCTTGTACCCTTGTTGAATCATAACAAATTCAAATTTCTTGTACCACTGCCGTGGAGCCTGTTTAAGCCCATACAAGCTCTTTTTCAATCGACATACATGGTTCTCCTTCCCTTTCACCACAAAACCTCTAGGCTGCTCCATATAAATTTCTTCTTCAAGATCACCGTGAAGAAATGCCGTCTTGACATCCATTTGCTCCACTTCTAAATCAAGACAAGCAGCCAAACCCAAGATAACTCGAATATAAGTCATCTTGACAACCGGTGAAAAAATCTCCTCAAAATCAACACCATGTTTTTGACTAAAGCCCTTCACAACAAGTCTGGCTTTGTATCGACGAGATGATGAGTGTTCTTCATGCTTCACCATATAGATCCACCTATTTTTCAATGCTCTTCTATCACTTGGAAGCTCAACTAACTCATACTTGTCATTAGCATGTAGGGATTGCATTTCATCTTTCATAGCAACAATTCACTTTTCTTTTTCAGGACTTTGGACTGCTTCTTCATAATCCTCAGGCTCTTCATTCTCGGTTAAGAGCACATACTCCGTAGATGAATACCTAGTGGAGGGTTGTCTATTCCGGGTAGACCTTCTCAATGAAGATTCTGCCATATCCACCGAATCCGGACCAACATCAACATCATCAACAGCATCATCGCCGACAGACCGATTTTCATCACCACCCAATTTTGGTGTAAAAACTTGATCCAGATAAATCAAGTCTTTATTTTGAACATTTGACTTATGATTCGTCTCAATGTCCTCAATCGTTTGATCCTTCATGAATACAACATCACGGCTTCTGACAAGCTTTTTCTCAATAGGATCGTAACACCTATAGCCAAATTCATCATCACCATAGCCAATAAAGATGCACTGTCGAGTCTTAGCATCCAACTTGGATCGTTCATCCTTAGGCACATGAACAAAACACTTGTATCCGAAAACTTTGAGGTGATCATAAGATACTATTTTTCCGTACCAAACTCTGTCAGAAACATCTGTCTGCAAAGCCACTGTAGGAGTCAGGTTGATAATGCGAGCAACTGCATATAAAGCCTCACCCCAGAAATGTTGAGGCAATTTAGCATCCGAAAGCACGCATCTGACTCTCTCCATCAACGTTCTATTCATCCTTTCTGCCAAGCCATTTAGTTGCGGAGTTTTAGGAGGTGTCTTCTGATGTCGAATGCCATGCTTTCGACAATAAGCATCAAACGGTCCACGATATTCACCTCCATTATCGGTCCTGATGCACTTCAATTTCTTACCTGTTTCTCTCTCCACAGAAACATGAAACTCAACAAAAACATCAAGAACCTGATCTTTCGATTTTAACACTCGAACCCATAATTTTCTTGAGTGATCATCAATGAAGGTAACAAAATAAACTGCACCTCCAAAAGACTTTACCTTCAAAGGATCGCACACATCCGAATGGATCAATTCAAGAATATCTCTTTTTCTCGTAGGAGGGTGATGAACAAAAGAAACCCGTCTTTGCTTTCCCACAAGGCAATGTGAACACTTATCAAGTTGAACACGTGTAATACCAGGGAGTAGATTCTTTTTCGCCAAAGTATCGAGTCCTTTTTCACTAATGTGACTCAATCTCCTATGCCATAAGCTCGAAGAACTCCCATTCTGAACTGCATTAGCACCATTCGCAGAAATAATAGCATGAAACCAATATAAACTGGACTTTTTCTTACCCTGAGCAATTACCATAGAACCTTTGGTAATCTTCCATTTTCCATCACCGAAATAGCAAGAATATCCATCATCATCCAACCTGCCAGTGGAGACTAGATTCAGTCGAACATCGGGAGCATGCCTCACATCCTTCAGCACTAGTGTGTATCCACTACTGGTATCCAAACACACTGTTCATGTGCCTACTACTTTCGCCAAGCCATCATTTCCCATCTTCAAGACTCCAAAGTCTCCCGGAGTATATGATGTGAAAAAATCCCTATTAGCAGTCACATGGAATGCAGCTCCACTATCCACAACCCAACTAGTCTCATTTTGGGTAAGATGAACTCCCTCTTCCTTATACACAATGACGAGATCCTCCGGCATTGTCGTATTCACACGATCATTGCTCCTATCATCATCTTTATGCTCATACTTGTTGTCTTTGCCTTTCTGCTCCTTTTTCAACTTGAAACAATATCTTTTGATGTGTCCCCGTTTGCCACAATAATGACACTCAAGGTCTTTGTATTTTGGCTTTGACTTACTTCTTCCTCGACTCTTTTCTCGATTCCCATGATCTCGGCCTATGTTCCAACTTCTCCCCCTATTATTCGTAACAAGGATCTCCGAATGAGAAGATGAAGTGTCAAGAGTCTTCATCCTCACCTCTTCATTCAAAATAGCACTTTTGATAAACTCCAAAGTGACTATCCCATCGAGCGCAGAATTAGGCAAAGAGACTCTGAAACCTTCCCATGAATCTGGAAGAGTATTAAGTAGCCACAAACCAAGTACCTCATCATCAGACTTCACTCCCATGCCTGACAGCTGATCGAAACATCCTTGAAACTCATTTATGTGATCGGAAATAGACTTGCTCTCATGATAACTCAAACGCATATCCTGCTTGAGTAGAAACAACTTATTGTTGCCAGTCTTCGAAGCATATAAGCTTTCCAGCTTGTCCCACAATGTTTTGGCATTGGTCTCATTCACAATGTGATTCAAAACATTGTCTTCTACCTATTGCCTTATGAAACCACATACTTGTCGATGCTCCAATTCCCAATCCGCATCACTAGTTTCAACTTCAGGCTTTGCCGCGGAAAACACTGGCCCGTGTAACTTCTTCACATATAGAAGATCAGTTATCTTTCCTTTCCAAACATGATAATTTGTTCCATCTAAGCAAATCATTCTTCCCAAATTCACATCCATCTTTCAATGGTAAATAACACTCCCAAACAACCTTACTCTGATATACTCCCAAACAACCTTACTCTGATACCACTTTATGTTGGAAGAATACCGGAAGAAGGCCAAAATGCAAACCAAAATTAGATTTGACGTACTCCTTAAGCGTGGTCACGCCCAAGCAGTGTGTTCAAAATGTTCCACCAAAACCTTTGCCTTCAATCAATTATTTTTCTACCAAAAGAAGATGAATGAAAACCACCAATAAAAACGGAAATAACAATACGAGACACCGAAACTTTTAACGTGGAAAACTCCTTCAAAGTGAAGGATAAAAACCACGAGGCCTATCACCCGACCCAAGGCAAAAATCCACTATCTCAAAAAGGTTCGTACAATAAAAAAGATAACCACAATCAAAAGGGCTATCAAGCTCCACACCCAAATACAAGAATCGAACCCCAATCACAAGAGATCTCCCAACTACAAACAACCCATTCCAATCCCCAACCAATAAGATTCAAAATCGAATCCAAACAAATAAGGAGAAATCAACGATACCAAAAAGAACATCCGAAGATGACGAGACTGTTGATCGGAACCGAGTTGAAATTATCTCTTACTTGCCGATTCTCTCGCGTGCGTGGATAACAATTGTCTCTCTCAATCTCTGCACCCAATTGACCCCTCTCCCAACTAAGGCGGCTAGGGCAACAATTGACAAAAGTGGGCTTTTAATTCTTCCTGGGCTAACTTGAATTGTTGGACCTCCAACACATAGGAGGAACCCAAACCCAACACGGATTTCCCTCTAGATATCTATCTATATATTGATACTGATATTGATATTGATATTGATTTACCAGTAGTGTTGAGTCGTAATTAGGATAAATGTATATTGTAATGTCACGTACACACACAATTCAGCACCACATTCATTCATGCTGCGTCTGCATAATACCTATTTATATCATATCCATCCGATCCGATCCGATTTAAATTAAAAAATTTACTCTTCACATTCTAAATCATAATCAAAACTCCCAAACAAACCAACACATACTAAGTAAGTAGTCTTTCTATTCGGGCAGACAGACAGACAGCAGAGGTTGGCTTTGGCTACGCCTAGCAGGCTAGGAGGCTACCTTAGCCGCCCAGGCCAGACCATGTATAACCAGCCAACTTACTAAACTAGGTAGGCTGGTCGGAAGTTATAACTATAGTGGAGAGGAGAGGAGAGGAGAGGAGAGGAGAGGAGAGGATTGGATTGGATTGGAAGCAACAGCAGCAACCACTCACACTCACACTCACACTCACAGAAAAGTGGAGTGGAGTGGAGTGGAGTAAATTCATATATACATTCATACATACATGCACATATTATTATTATTATTATTATTATTATTATTATTATATCATCATCCTCATCCTCATCATCATTAATTATCAATTATACCGCCTCCTAATTAAAAAGAAATAAATTAAGCTAGCTAAAGGAGCCAAGCGTGGCGACTGACCGGACCGGACCGGACCGGACGTGATGTCTCTCCTCTCCTCAACTCAACCAACTGTCACCCATCATCTGCTACGATGACGATGATGATCCGCGGGGAGCGGGAGCGGGGGCGGGGGATGGGAGTGGAAGGTCCAGCAGGATGAGGAAGTAGCAGCGCTCCGACTCCCGGATGTACTGAACCTCCCCCCTCATGCTCCTCACGATCTTCCTGCACATGCTCAGCCCCAGCCCTTCCGGGCTCCCCCACCGCCCCCCCGCCCCCCTCTGGCTCTGGAACATCTCCTGCACCACTTCCGCCGCCAGCCCCTCCCCGGGGCACGCGATCCTGTTTCAACCAAATTCCATTCCATTCATGCCGTCTGTCATCACCAAGAAACACACAAACACAAATACACTCCTCACCGGAACTCGATGTGCGCCGTGCCTGGCCCCGAAGCACCACAGTCCTGCTTCAAGCTCGGTTGCAGCCGTAACTCCACCCAACCATCCGGGGCCGACGGCGCACTCCGCACCATGCTCATGAGGAAATCCGCCAGCACCTGTTGAATCCGGACCTGGTCCCCATACATCGCCAGCGTCTTCACCTCCTCCGGTATGTCCCGGATCAACTGCAGACCTCTTTCCCTCAGCGACAGCATCACTTGGCTCACAACCGCATCGATCACACCTCCCAGAACAAACTCTGCTCTCTCAAGCTCCACCAACCTGGATACATATACATATATATATACACACACAGACCACCTTGATTAATTAGAGCACATCACTCACTCACTCACTCACTGACTCTGTATGTTAGAAAAACAAAAACAACCTACATATATAAGATTCTATTCTAGTCTTATGATTGAATGCCTCTTCTCATCTATACCATACTATACTATATCTGTAACTGTAACTGATTTTTGAATCAACGCCCCTGCAGATGGATGGATGGATGAATGTAATGGTGTTGTACTTTACCCGACTTAACCAAGATCATCGCTATGATTCTAACAGATGACATCTATCTTAGCTTAGGTAGGGTTAGAACGGATTATACCCATCCTCAATGTTCTCCAGATCAACGTCCTTCATAATCTTTAGCATCTGCCTCTCGCAGGCAGCACTGGTTTCAAGACACTGCTTTTGGTCCTCCGTCAAACTTGTGGCTTCCAGCAGAGAGTTGGTGAATCGTATTCCGCTCAACGGATTCTTTATCTCCTGACAAATGTAAGCCAGCTCCTTCATCTTCGAAACGTATGTCTTCTCTTGTTGCCTTTGGACTCTCAGAGCCTGCTGCAGTTCCGGGCTCGCTGTCTGCAAGAAGCAGAAGGCACCCACAATCTGGCCGTCCATGTTCACCCTCTTGTTTGCTGTCAAGAGAGCTTGGACGTACTTTCCATTTCTGTCAAAGAAGGAAAAAGGGAACTTGTCGGTGTCCTGGCCTCCGATTGCGTTGTGCAAGACGATCATGAATTTTGTCATAGCGTCCGGGCCCTTCAGCCGGCAGCAGCCGCCAAATATCTCCCCAACCAACATCTTCCCCACGGCTTCTCCTCTGTTCCACCCTGTAAGGTTTTCCATAGCAGTGTTCCACTCGGAGCAACAAGTATTCTCGTCTGAAGCAAATATGGGCGGGATCAGCGGGTTGGGGCTGTGTATGATCGCCTTGTAGTCGCCTTGGATGTGGATGAATTTGTCCATCACCACTTTCTGGCCCGTAACGTCCTGGCCTATAAAGCATACGCCAACTATATTGTTCGTATAGTCTTTGCTAGAGCATGCATTCACCACCACGAATACAGCTTTCTTTGGTTGTTCGCTGCCAAATGTCCTCAAACTTAACTCCACATTCTTATCTTCCACGCCTGCATCAATTATTCATTGTCCAAAAGGTTATTGAAGGTGAACGAGAGCATACGCTGCTGCTTGCATACTAGTTACTAGCAATGATCGGGACAGCATACATCACTCGCCTGCCGTTAGCAATAAAACATACTACTACCCTTAACAGATTTCGAATTAAATATTGCTAAAGAAACATGGCGAACATCAATGAAATAGGAGGAGCACCTCTTAGAGCATGAAGCAGAAGCTTGCGAGCAATTTCTTCCGATTCTTTGTGAACAAGATCATGAACCAAAGACTTCCCCATTGCTTCCTCAACAGACAGTCCGGTCAACTCTGCAACTTTTGCATTCCAACCGTTTACGCGGCCTTCAACATCAACAGCAAATATAGGAGCCGTTGCAGTCTCTATCAACCTAACCATTTCTCTAGCCACAGAACTCAGTTCATCCATCCCTTGTAACTCCAAGTCCGCAACAGGAGAATGCACCACTGCTTTCGAGTTGCCTGCATCAGCATCACGGAACGAATCTCTTAAAATTAGCTGCAAAGAGTGAATAGCATCCATTTCAGCATTTTCCCATGGCAAGCTTCGGCTCTTGACCACTTCTAAAAAAGCCTTAAAGGAAGAACGGGGATGCATCCGCTGCCCATCATCTTTGTCCTCTGGATGATGCTTTGCACCACCCCACTTGACCTCTTTCGCAGTGTGAGATCGGAACCAAAACAAGAAATCTCTACTAGTAATATAGGCCACGGCCATTCCACAGACTGCATCCCCGAGAGAGGCTGCCCCAGGGTACCCAGCATCAGCGAGACTATCGGTGCTCAAACCTGTCGAGTCCCCATGATATGCCAACAGCCAGTCCACTATATCCTTTATCTGAGCTCCTGTAGGTGTGACACCAAGAGGGTAATACTTTCCATGGTAGTACAGAGCAGCACCATCACATTTTACCAGATCCATGATACTTGGGCTCTGCGTAACAATTCCAGTCGGTGAGTCTCGAAGCAACATATCACACAAAAGTGTCTGTGTTCTTAGAACATGCTTTTCCGATAGTTGCGAAGCCAACTGTAACTCCATGTTCAGTTGAAGCCCAAATGCCTGCATCAGGAATTCACAAGCATAGCGAAGAGGGAAAGGAATGCAGCGTGCAGATGTGTGATGACCAACAACCAAGCCCCATAGCCTCATCGAGTGCCGTCCCTTAGCGCCATCTTCATCACTTCCATTGATGATGACTGCCAGTGTCAATGAGGCAATGGATCCCATATTTGCCATGTATTGGGCGTGGCAGCCATGAGGAGCCCTAAGAGTCGAACCGACCAAACATAGCGGCTGAGCCAAAACTTCATCCTGGATGACCCTAATGGGAGTGGCATTACAATCCACAATCATCCTCACTCTATTCTGCTTGAACAAAAACCTTGAAGCCTGAGGGATATCTGTGGCCGGGTAGTGCAAACCAATATATGGCTCTAGATCGGGTCTCTTACTCTCTGCCACAACCTCACCATGCTCATCTTCATGAAACTTATAAACCATAACTCGATCATAGCCGGTGAGCTCCCTCACGCTCTCAACCACGGTGTCACACAAAAGCTTAATATCACCCCCAGGAAGGGACTGCAAATGGGATATGGCTCTCACTGCTAGTTTCTGCGACTGGACGGCACCGGCAATAGAGAGGGCGGGATCCTCGGTCCTTGCAGGCTCCAGATCGATCACAATCCCCACGTCTATCCTGTGCAAGATTGCATAGAAGGGCTTCCCGGAATTCTTGGAATGAATCCAAACAGGATTCATCAGCGTAATCTCTCTCGCCCCAAAAGCCCTCTCCAGCAACACGGAGCTTGACGGCGTGAAAAGGGCTCTCACATCAGTCCCGATTGCCAAGATCTCGGGCCGTTCGAGACTTGGGACTGACTGAGGCGTTAAGCCCAGCATTTCGCGGGCGTTCTCCGAATACGCGATCACGCGGAAATTCGACTCGTTCACGGCAATCATGCAACCGAATGGCTGAATGTGGCCGCCGCGCTGCATTCTCGACAAGTAGGCAGTAATCTGCTGCTCGGGAACGGATTCATGAGTGGTCCTAACACTCTGCGAGTAATCAAAGGATTTCCCAGACTCACCCGATTTCTCAAACACGGCGTGGAGTCTCGCGTCGACAGTGAACTGTGCCACAGCCTTGTTCACGGATTCCCCACCCCTGTTTAAGCCTGAATTGGTGCTGACATCGTGGTAACGGTGATGGGACGCACCCGAAGACTGTGCTTGAACTAAAGCTTGAGAATTGTGGCGACTATTCCCATGCGCCTCTCTCCTCCCCGAAGCAGTCATATCGTCGAACACCTGCCTAACCTCCTAACCCACGAGTTTCAGCGGAAGTTGGGCAGAGATCCCAATGTCCAGGAAGGGTGGGGATTCGGGAACCGAGAGCCACCTGAATCTGAATGTGCGGCTTTGCTGCGGCTTTCCGAGGCAATCATTCCATCACCGGACCGGACGGGACCAACCTGCTTCCTTCCTTCATCAACTGGAACTGGAACTGGAAGGAATTCCAAGCAGTGGGATTGATTATCACCAAAAGGAAGGAAGGAAGGATGGATGGAAGGGGAAGAGAATTCCGGGGAGGGAGCAAATCAAATAAAAATCAAATCAGTCTCACGGAGAGTTTGTGAGGAATTTGGGATTTGAGAAGGATTAGAGAGCCACCCAAGCCATGACAAGCCAGCCCTCTCTTTTTCTTTGATCTTATTACAGTCTGCACTGCAGCGCTCCCGACTTTGGATGGGTGGGTATTGATTCTTGGACTGTCTATTGTTTTGTATTGTAGTATATTCGGGTGTTGTGTACTTGTATTGTATTATTGTAGTGTCTGTGTTTCGGTTTCGGATGGATTAGTTTTACTAAGCAAACCAACAGACAATAGTTACCTTAGTCGAGTGTTTGTATTGATTCAATTTAATTTTGATATTTGGGGATTCGCTGTCGTATCCCAATTCTAAGCGTGTGTTTTTACCCATTTTGAGATGTATAAAAGACGATTTAAAATTAATAAAATAAGAAATTATATACACATATGTATTAAAAAAAAAAAAAACGATTGGGAAGAAAAACAAAAACACGACAAAATACTCTTCTACTCCTTTTTCCTTTTTAGTTCTTTATTTTAATAAACTAAGATCAACTTCCTTTCTGAACGAAGGAAATCATAAAAAAAATAATTAAGAAAAAAATGGGATGAGCACTGTGTAGTTTGGCAGAGGTCAACTGTTTGACATAACAAAAGGATTTGATTGGCCCAATATTTGTGTCTGAGCAATAGGGCCACGTTTGGATGCTTAGATTCACATCTTTTTTTTTTCTTTGTATATTTGATTTATTTATAATTGTTTGCATCAACACTACTAACCAACCAAACAAACAAACCTACGGATGAAAGCAGCATTAGTCATTAGCGTGTGACCAAGTCTTAGATGGTTGCATTTGCATTTGCATTTGCTCTCTCTAGTGATCCCAAACCCATCATCACCGTCATCATCTTCCTGTTTGGATAAAAATCAATCTCATAATACTTACTTTGAGGGAGGGAGAGGGAGAGGGAGAGGGAGAGAGAGAGAGAGAGAGAGAGAGACAGACAGACAGCCAGACAGTAGGAGGGAGGAGCAGAGCAGAGCAGAGGAGAGGAGAGGAGGACAACAAGCGCAACAAGTGGTGGGTCACATCATGTCTTGAATTTCCCTTTCGGATCACATTCTGCCCACGTGAAGTTTTGTACAATAATTGACACCAAACTCCATCCCATCGCTATTGATAGATATGATAATATTCACTCATTTTTATTACTAGAGACTTTTGTTTTCTCTTCCAAATACTAGTGTCTGTATGTAGCAATCCCATCATCTCCTCTGCAATCTACAATCCTCCATTTGTGGTCGGGCCATGTACATTGCATTGCTGATACTCACGGCTGCCGCACAACAAGCCGTAATAAGATCCCCAACCTCTTCTCATCAAAAACAAACAACCACCCAAATAATATGAATTATTAATCAGTATTCCAGACGACACAAAAAAGCATCAACCCACAGATTCCACAACATAACATAACAGCACGCCTATCTTCTTATCCAATACTATGATTCACTAGTAGCATGCCCTGTAAGCCACACCAACAGGGCAGCTGCTGAGCTGAATGTCACAACCCACCGTCTCTACACAGCACAACACATTATGCAGAAAACACTCCTTCCTTCCTCGTTTGGAATTAACAGGAGTGAATTGAATTCAATTCTCCAACTACATCTTCGTCTGTTTATTATTCTCTAACTTACCCAACAAAAAGGCACAAGTGAGCCATCCATTCAACAGTACGTACTAATAACAATACATGCACCCCCAACAACAAATAAGCAGCACTAGTATTACATAGTCGTAACAATAAAAATAGAAGCATAAGCAGAAGCAATCAATCACTTGGTGTAGAGGACGTCTTCCCATGGGTGACGATACAGGGGCTGCTTCAGTCTCTTCTGGTCAAATGTGTGCCTGAGCCAACCAACCAACCATACACAACAAATTATTTGAATTCATGATTGATTGATTGCTTGCTTGATATGGGGGGTATATCATTGAAAAAGAAAAACTCACCCGATAAGACCAATGGAGCGAGCCAGGACAAAGAGACCGTTGAGGTAACCAATTCCAACAATCTCGTCGATTTCTTGCTTGGTAAACATACCGCTGCCCGCAAGAAGATCCAGAAACAAGGACCCGATGGCGCCATCAACATTGAGGACAAGGTTGTTTGCCTTTGAAAGTGTGTAGGTTTCGACCTCAACTGCATATTCCATGTACTTGACAGATGGGAAATTGGAACGCGCAAAACGCTGCAGTAGTAACACTCTCTGGTCTCTGTTATCGCCTCTCTTGATTCTTTACAGAAATAGAAAAAGGCAGGAAAGATGTTTTCATTGATAAGCCATAGGATTTCAGAAACAAGCAAGTAAAATACAACATGAATGTCAGCAAAAATACAATTGATGTTATAGTTGTGATACCTGTGACCGATCCCGGGAACACGAATCCCTTTCTTCTTCATGCTTTCTACAAACTCATAAGGGGTGAGACCCTGAAACAACACCACAAATCAAGTGAAGCTACTTAGACACACATTAGATCTTTCTATTTTTTAGAACAATAAAACTCATGCATACAATGGGGATCAAACCTTAACTCACCAACAACTACTATCCTAGGGGACACAGAATGCATATGAAAACTATTTTCATAACTGAAGAAATTATTAGGAAACCCATTAAGTAACTCACTTTGTCATAAGCATCCTTGAAGTACCGTGCAGCGTCATCAATAGCTCCACCAAACCGGGGGCCAATTGTCAATAAACCTGTTTCGCAAGTTGCAATGTACTACTCGGTGATCACAAACAAATCCTCAAGCTCATTTTTTAAAATTAATTTTAAAGTCAAACACAATTTATTATTTAATCATATAAATATTAAAAAAAAGTCACAAAATTTGCTGCATACCTGACACAAGACTGGACACCAAATCTTTTCCAGCCCTAGCTGTGACAATGGTGTTGTGAGCACCAGAGACACATGGGCCGTGGTCGGCACACAACATGACACAAATCTAGCAAATCAATAGCAGCATTAAGAAAAAAGAAAAGATGAGAGGGAACAGGGCCTTCTCTTGAGGTTAACGAAGAGCATAGGGAAGGGGGGAGGAATAAAAAAGACTACATAATCACCTCAATAAATCGTGTGCAGTATTGAGGGAGGCTTCGTTTGAACCACAATAAAGAGATAACATCACCCACACCTAATCCCTTTTCGACAATGGAGGACATCGGGACGCCAGCATAGGTTGGCTCTTCACCTTCAATACGTAAGACAAGCATTTCAAATTTTAGAGACAGTTCGACAATAAATAAAAAAAAAAAAAGATTAATATGCAAATGAATACACATACCCCTATCATCAGAGATTGTGGAAATAATATGTGTTGGAGCCCGAACTTTTCCACTCTTGATTGCTATGTTAAGATCTTCGGGTATCTGAGGGGGTGTCACCTCCTTCACTGGTGCAATTTTCCCTGCCTCGGCCTAACAGAAAGGAATGATCACTTGAGCAACTTTATGAAAGAAAGCAGAGTAAGGGAATTATTATCATGTTATGGTTACAAAGTATCTAAAATGCTCAAGCCTCACCAACTTTTCAAATGTTTCCTTGATTGCACCTTCAAATGCTTCATAAGAAGTGGGAACAACTGCACCAGCTTCTTTGAGCGCTTGATTCTTAGCCTGTGCAGACTCCATCTCACCACCACTCTTAGCTCCCTATGTGATCAAATAAAAAATTTAAGTATACCACATATCATGGGTATCAATAAATCATGGTAACTGTATGCAAGTCATGATTTCTAACCGCATGACCGAATTGGACTTCTGATTTGAAAAGCCTTGCACAAGTTCCACTGACCCATGCAACCACAGGCTTGTTAATTTTACCCTGTTTAAGAGCCTCGACAAGGGAATACTCATCACGCCCGCCAAGTTCTCCAAGAACAACCACCATTTTAACCTGTTTCAATCAGGATATAAAAGTTAAGGTCAGTCAGGCACAATTAGCCAATATTATCTAGAGCAGGAGCCTGGTAGCTAATCATTCATACATTTCCTGAAGTTAAATATTACAGGGTGGATGGTGCTGTGAGTTCTTGACCCAAGAAAAGACTTCAATAAACTATGCTATTGTAAAGAAAACAACACTAGCAGCGTCTACATCAAAACATCCTCTAAATGTAGCGTGCAGTTTGGAGTATATTAGGAAACTTGTGTATGTGAAGTTAAATCCAACTCTAAAATCTTTACAAGGTTGTAAAAGTTCAAACATGGTTAGAACCTGAGGTATATTGTTAAACCGCAGGACATGATCAGAAAGTGTCGACCCAGGGAAAACATCCCCTCCAATGGCAATGCCTATCCAGAACACATCAAAATGACATTACATTAAATATTTAAGAAAATAATAATAAGAATAATGAAAGACTTTTCAAGATTTAAATCTGACCTTCATAGATTCCATCTGTGACCCGAGCAATTGTGTTGTACAGCTCATTAGACATACCACCCTGTCAAGCAATGCGATACTATCACTCTATGAGTATGGGTAATCTTCTCTATTTACCTGCCTATTTAAGAAAAAATCACTTACAGATTTGGATACAAAGCCTACAGATCCGGGCCTGTACAACTTGCATTGAATTATGTTGTCAAGTGTTCCTGCCGTGTCCCCAATCTTAAAGGCTCCAGCTTGAATACCTCCAACAGTAGCAGGGCCAATTATAACCTGAAATGCACTCATTTTTGTTAGAAAGGAATAACTTGCTAACAACCTCTATTTCTTACACAAGGAAATAGGCATAAAACAAATGCATACTGAACATAAATAATGGGATATGTACGAAAATCAAGATAAAGAGTTACAACTGATACCTTATTGTTTGCCCTTGCATAAGCAATCAACTGCTTGGTATCTAACTCAGGGACTCCTTCAGCTATAATGGCCACAACTCTAATTGTTGGCTGCTTGAGAGCAGCCATAGACGAAGCAGCAGCACTGGGAAAATTGAATTTAGCTGATCAATCATAGAAGTAGGATGTAACTCAGAAATTTCTTAAAGAACTAAACCAACCTTCTAAACGATGCAAAGTTGATAAAAACATCTGCTGTAGGATGTGCATTGCAAGCAGCTTCAATGCTGTGGCATCATATAAGAAACAATTAATATTAAATAAAAATCCATAACAATGAGAATAAAATATGAGTGTCACACAGATGCCAAACATTGGAGGTCATCAAAATTAACCAAGACAAATATCGTTCTTATGTACTCACATAGATACATACAAGGATACTTTTAAAGGTTTTCCCTTAGAAGCTTAAAGTGCTATGCAAGGATTGATAGTGATGAGTGCTATATATGTTTATATATGTGTGCGCATGTGTGAGTGTACGGAGATACATACACAACCTACAGCAATACAAATAGAACAGGGAGTAAATCCAGAGGTGTGGGAAACTATTAACTGGATATTGACTCCTATAAATAAATATAAAGATAAATCTCTATCAATTAAGATATCATGGGCGAGTTTCTTTGTATACGTGATATGACAACCAACTAAAGCTCAATAATGGGTATTTCGCATTTGGTTCTTTGTAGTGAAGGACACTGCTGGTGCCTCACAAACATCACTCGTCAACCAAAGTCCAATTTGTGTATGGGTCATGGGACCGGGGGACTCATGAGCCCTTTGAAGGTTTTGCCTCCTATACATTCTCCACTGTGTTTTACTTCTGGTCTCTTAGATTTCTTGTTCCAGCTGGTTTGGGATTCATGAGACTGAACAATATACTATCAGTTGAGGTGTTATTCTGGTGATGCTAAAATCACTAAACACCAACTAAATGGTTCCAATTATACATAATGTACATAATGTAAGGAGTAAGGACTGTAACCTATACCTGTGGAGTACCTTGAAAGATAATCACTAAACGAGACAAGTACCTTAGGGAAGATCTATAAAAACATTGGATGGGAAGGATGTCAATTTATTACACTCCCATGATGATAATTGGTTTGATCAACCATTGTGAGCTTCTTATGCAACACATGGAACAGAATCTATATACACTAAGGACTAGACTAGAGGAGATACTCCAACTATTGATTTGATTGGGGCTGCTGTACTTGTATTACCCAGCTCCCAATCTAGTTCTGCAAATATGCATTCATATCATTTACGAAATCACAGATAGTTTCTCCAGTTACAGAAAAGCAGAGCATCTTAGTTCTGCAATGTCTTTCAACACATTGTTTCAATGAAAGCCTTCACATATAGAATAAGAACTTCAAACAGTATTGAAATGGGAATAACCTCACCAAAGAAGAACACCATAGTTTTTTCATAAGGAAATAGTAATTATTGAAACTCAGCAAGTGTAAATATAAAGAAATACATTATCAATATGACCTATGCCATCAATTGAAAATCTATATTCATCATTGTAATTCAGCAGAAAAAACAAATTTTACGCACTGTAACTTACGAAGTTCTCCACCAATATATATGTATATATAAAAGATATGTCACTTATAGAATATCTTTATATTCTTAAAGAAAAAGTTACGATCCACGTGAAATATATAATATAGGAATGTAACTCACGCTGAGTGCACAGGAATGGCAATTTCCTCCTGGCCGAAAAATAGTTTCTGGAATCCTTCAGAACCAGGGTTAATAATTCCAGCAACAGAAGGTGTCTCTCTCCCTGAGTTAGAGAGCACAAGACACAACATTCAAACTTGCAAATCCTTTTATCAATCAACTGTGAAACGCACATCAACTTGACAAAATCACGTGGAAAAAAAATGCTTCAAGTAAGCTTACCACAGAGGAAATCAAAATCAAGCATACGCTGAATGGGCAGTTGCTTGTAGTTGTAGAACAGTGCTTGACTATCTTTTGAGAAGAGTTGCCCAGTTGCCATGGTTTGACCTGAATCACCGCTACGATTAAGATCACATTGAATATCTAACACAAGATCGCCAGAAATATTAATATTATAACCATTTCAAGATCTTCAACAAAGGACACATACTCCTAGGCTCCTAGCTTTGACAAAATATGTTATTTTATAAAATTAACCTTCCATATAAGATCTGCATGATCCTTAAAGAGACAAAGTTTACAATAGAATTGTTGACATATCACTTTCCAACAAAAGTTCACGTGTGTAACATTCTGTTAAAAAATGACAACTGGAACACCTCAATACTAACATCTATAAACAAGAAGATGGAGCAAGAACTACAATGACCTCTCATCTACAGAAAGTATCAATATACATCACTATATACAGTCCAAAGTTGATATATCACAAGACTAACATGCACTCTTACAGATGCCAGCAATAAAAAATCATTAAAAAGGTTCTATAAGCAAGAAGAAGGAGCAAGATCCGAAAGGTAATCCCCAAGATCAGAGTAATGTACTGATCTACACCAATATTGCCTAGGAATTTTAGATTGCTCTTGTTGTATGGTTATTACTCTCACCCTTCCTATGTGATTCCCGTTCCCTTAAAGAAGCTAAGCATGACACTATTTCATCATTGTTCCCAAAAGATCCAAGTCACAAGTTCGCAATACAACAGCAGAAGGTACAGCAAGAATCCATATTAATTCATTCTAAAAAGAAAAGCTAATCGGAATCGCTTCATATGATGACACAACCGGGCGACACATTTAAGCAATCGTCAGTAGATCACACGTACACTGACAGGATAAACATCTATAAATCCCAAATCAAAGGAAGTAATCTGCTCGTCTCATCGAGCATTTGAGCCAAGTCCCCAGCATAAGAAAAGCAAAACATAGCACATCTCCTCGTGAATATCGAAGAAGACATAAAATCAAAGAAAGATCCCAAGATCCAATCCACCCGTAACGGACGGACACAGACAAACGGGAATCGCAAAACAGTAAATCAGATCCAGTGACTAAGAATTACACCTGAATCCACACCGGATCAATGCAGGACAGAGCCAAAGAGGTGGAAGCGGAAATACGGAAAAGGAAAAGGAATTGAGCAAAATAAAGAATCAACACAAAAAAAATGCACCTACCAATCCACCCACCCTAATCACGACAGATGGAGAGAAATGAGGAGGAGGAGCAGCTGGAGGATTGGTTGCGGTGAAGGGAAGGGGGAGTGGAGTGGAGATTTATTTATATATGGGGGGGGGGGGGGGGGGGGGGGATAGACCGATGACCACTATTCTATCACTGTGTGTGTGTGTGTGTCTCTCTCTCTCTGGGTGTGGGTGTAGGTGAAGGACGTGTAGTGGTGGCGGTTGGCTCACAAGGGAATGAATAGTAGTAGTAGTAGTGTGGAAGGGAAACAATTAGGCTGGAAATATACATCAACAAAACAATTATCGATATCCCTATATTTATTTATTACTCTCCCTCCGTTTCAAACAAGTTGCAATATTTATGAGAAATAGAGAGAAATATATATTTTATTTTTTTATTTAGACGACATGAAAGAATAAAGTGTGAGATAGAGATTTAATAATTAATTATTTTTAAAAATATTACAGAGCGTTTGGAACAAAAAAAAATATTATAGGGTGCTTGGGACGGATGGACTACTATATTAGATATTATTGTCATGCGAAGCGAAGATGAGTCGGTGGTGTGAGATAAATTCACACATGGTTCGTTCATTCTAATTTACGAATTTATACGTCATAAAAAGTAAAAAGAAAAAATTATGAATTTATTTGATATTAATGTAAAATTTAATTTAATTTAATTTTTTTTGCAATAAAATAATATTTTTTATTAACAAAATCACGTATATCTAAAATAAAAAGCAAACAAACCTTTTTTTTTATTTATCAAATAAAAGTAATACAAGGTAATATATATATTTTTTCCTTTTACGTGTGCATTTGAAATTCTCAAGCATATGCAATAGAACAGAAATTCGGGTCGGGTCGAGTGGGGTGCACATTAAAAATATTGTTGTTTGGTGGGGCAGTTGAATTTGAGTCATAATTGGAGGGAGGGAGGAGCATCGAAAGCGACGAAAAGGCTGCCGTCGGGTCAAGCTCCCATTCCGTAGTTGGTCTTCCACAGCACACCAGACGCCAATCAGGATTTCATTTTTTTAATGTAAAAACAGGAGGTACCAGTGGTAGACTGGTAGTGCTGTGCTGTGCTGACTGTGTGCATGTGTTTTTACCTAATTCTTTATGTGTATACAACATACTATCATCCAAAATCATATCTAATGAACGTAATTCACCGTTTTATTACTTTTTAAATTCTGTGCCGAGAATAAAGGAAGGGTTTTCTTAACCTCAAATTTGACGCCATTCTTAATGCTCTCTCCCTCCGTCCCAAAATATTTGTCTTATTTTTCTATTTTAATCTGTTCTAAAACAATTGTCTTGTTTATTTATTTAGTAGTCGTGGTCTCCACTTTATAACAAAATTATTTATATTTTTTCATATTATCCATAATTATTACTCTAACATACTTTTGAAATTCTTCAAAACGCAAAGGCATTCTAGTCATTTACATTCTACTTTATATCTACTCTCAATTAAATACTATTATTCCTTAATTTTCGTGCCAACTCAATAAGACACTTTTTTTTAAACAAAGGGATTATATATTTTCTTAGTCTCATAATTAATAATTTTTAATAATTTTCTTTTGTCAATTCTACAAACGATGATTACTTTTTATTTTTAATAATTTTATAAATTTTAAATATATGTAATAAATATAAATTAATTAAATTAAAATTTTAACTCTTACAAGAATTTACTCAAATTCTTTTTATTTCTATTTTTTTCTTCAATCAACAAATATTTTATCTATCTTTAAAATTTTTTATTTTTTATAAAACTAATTTATGATAATGATAAATAAATAAATAAATAAATATATTATTTATTTGTATTCTATAAAATTTTATTTTTTACAAAATGATATTTATATTGTATATATTATTGAGAGATAATGCTAAAAATATTTAAAATACTAAGAAATCTAATCATATAAAAATAATATCATAACTTAATAACTTATTAATTTACACTACCTATAATATGGTGTCCCTAACAAAATGACTCATTCTTGATGGGATCGAGAGAGTATAATAATATATTTTTCACTTTTTTCTAATAAAAAATCAACATTAAATTCAAATTATTATTTTGTATATTAGCAATACAATTATTTAGAATTTGTTTGTTTTTTATTTAAAGTACAGAAAATTGTATAACTAATATAAAAATAATATTTTATATGAAATATTAAATTTTTAGTAATAATATATAAAAATATTATATGTATTGAAAATTTTGTGAAATAAAAATTATTGAAAAAACAAATAGTATATTTTACATAAAAAAAAAAATACTTTGAAATTAAAATACTAGAGAAATATATTTTTCATTAATAAAAAATATCAATGTAATACTCTGTTCCAAGTATCATTTTACTATTTTTGTTATATATTAATACTAAAATATTATTGATTTTTATTTCAATTACAAACATATCATTACACGTACAAGATAAAAAATCAAAGGACAAAAATATCAAAACCTTTTGCACACTTTCCAGTAATAAATAAAATATAATCAACTACAAAATCCAAATGATCTGGGACAAAGGGAGTAAAATTTATGTACTCCCTCTCAAAATAATAGTCCCATTTTTTTTTTCATCTGTGTTAAAACAATAATCATATTTTCATAAATAATTGCATAACCATAAAATTATTCTTATTTGTTTATTATTATTACAAAAATATTATAATTTTTTACACCAACACACTCACAATGACATTTTGTTTCTTTTAATCGTCTTTTTTATATCCATTTTTAATGTAATTGTTTTAAAATCATGTATCTAATTTCAATTTGACTATTCTTTTATGACGGAAAGAATAGAATGTTTTGTGCATTTAGGCCATCTTCAACCATTTATTCCATTTTTGCAGTAGCTACAGTAAAAAATATACTTAATCTACACTAATTTTACTCTAACCACAAATTTCAATTTATTTTATATAATTTTTTATATTTATAAATTACGCTCCAATTTTAATTTATTTTTACATTATAATCTATATTTATTTTAAAAAATAAAATTATAAATTATTTTTTAAAAAATAAAAATTGCACAATATACCTAAAAAATAAATAAATAAATAAATACACACAAAATCACAAAACACCGCAAAAACTTCACTAAAAAACGAAACGAAAGACTCCAAAAATAGAAGTGCAAAATTAGGGAATGATTTGAGGTGGATTGAAGCCCTCCCCTCACCACAAATTTTGCACAACCCACTGCCAAAATAGCGATTCGAGTTTATCTATTTAGTTTCAAATTCAACCTCAAGCTCGCTTCATAAAACCCGAGAACTTGAATTTTATATATTTGTTTGTTTAATATATAAATGAAATATATTTAATTTTATTTATAAACATAAATTTTGATACAGAAAATTTAATATATATTATCGTAACAAGTTTAACTGAATTATCCGCGATCTAAGCTGGTTTTTACAAAATATTAAAATTTTAACTTAAGTTGGACTCATTTATTTCTATAAATTTAAGTCTAGCGTTAAGCCAGATGAAACGACTTTCCTATTCCTATCACTTGTCATTCGATTGGACTCAAAATAAAAATTCAAACGACATGGATGAATATTTAATTTCAGTCATATGAAATTGATATTTATAAAGAAAATAAAATAATAGAAAATGTAATGTACTAACAAACGGATCCAAATAGTCATGCGCCGTGTCTTCTTTGATAATAATAATAATTAAGTATTATTTTATTTCCGCAAAAGTTAGACCAATTGAGGTTTGAATCAAGGAAGGGCTAGGGCTTGCTTGCATCATATATGACTGACTATTAATTAATTAGTTTAACATAATTTGGAACCTACTCGGAAATATTGATATTGTCTTTGTTCTATATATATATTTCAAATCATCATCAAGTCACCACCATAGTCCCTAGTCCATAGTCCATAGTCCATAGCTCTAGTAATTAACTTTCGCTTGTCTTCGTTATTGATTTAACCTACCTACCTACCTTTCAGCTCGCTCTAATACTACCCTATAGGCTATATATAATCTCCAAACTTAAGTTTAATGATTTATCATTAGAATTCTCCGCCTGCAGTTTTTAATAACTATCGAAACTTGTAAAATTAATTTGTTCAAAGTATGTAAAATCTAAAACCGAATATCTAAAATATCTAAACATCCCCTCAAACTCAAGTGGTAAAACAGAAATCAATTTGAGTTTATAAGAAAGTTGAATATAGACGCAAAACAAAAACACAAATAAAAATAATAGTTGACTCTCCATCGGAGCCGGACAGAGATGACTTTTCACCCCGAAACAAAAAATAAAAATGAAAATTAAAATGTATAAAAATAGTTGAATGAAAATTAATTTTAATAAATTTTATTTTCATTTTAAGAAAAAAATATAAGTAATAGAAATTTAGAATATACATAAATATTAAAAATTTATTTATATCTTCTCTTTCTTCTTTCTTTCATATGTCTATTCTATTAGTTGGAATATAAGAAATAAATTTTTTTGATAATAGATGATTTTGTGTCCGACCATTTCGAGTGAGGATCTCATCTTTGAATACACATTATTGTTGGATCTAAGATTTGAATTAACAATATTCAACAAGACTTTTAATTATGAGTAACAATGTAGAATGTCTATATTTAGTATCTGAATATTCAAATAAAAAATAAATTAGTCGGAGCGTACTATCATATCTGAATAGTAACAATTCCTATTCCTCCTCCTCCAAATTGTTGGGTATGTACGTACGTATGGTTGACCTGCTTTCACTCGCGCCTCCAATTTATTGCGCCATAACCGACTCCTCCTTCCATTCCCTCCCCTCCGTTCCCAACCATCTCTCTTCAATATCCCATTTCTATCATCAAATTCTTTACTTCATTCAATCCTCCAATTCATAACATCATATCAGATCGAGATGGCATTGGTGAACCAATCCCCCCCCACAACTCCACCTACCACTACCAGTAGCAGCAGTATTAATGTTATGATTCTTCTTCTTCTCATGCTGCTCCTAATCCACCCCCGTCTTCATGCGGCGGCAGCAAGATCCCCCATGTCCGCCGATCCCGCCCCGCCGCTCCCCTCTCCCACCGCCGCCGCAGAGGAACCCACCGTTCTCAGCTACGCCCAGTTCCTCCCCTCCTCCTCCTCCACCTCCAAAGATGTCTCGTCAGATCAGTCAGAGCAGCAGCAGCAGCTGGAGTCCTCCCTTAGCATGGACAGCAGCAGCAGCAACAACGACCTATCCTCCGGTATCCTGTCGCTCCAATTTCAGGCGGACCCCGAGGTCGAGAAGATCTGCCAGAGCACCGACTACCCCCACCTCTGCCTGGCGGAGGTCATCCCCAACCTGATCAACCTCCGAGGCAGCGGGCGCCGCATCGACACCGACGCCGTCCTCCAGGCGGCGGTCAAGGGGACCAACATGTTCGCCAAGCACTGCCAGGAGCTGGCGCAGGACTACGCCAACAAGCCCGGCAGCCCGCCGGAGCTGAAGTCGGCCCTCAAGGACTGCCAGGACGGCTACGACACCGTCGTCGACAACTTCGAGGAGACGCTGGAGGCCTTCGCCACGCACGACGTGGGCACCATGCGGAGCATGCTCAGCGCCGTCATCACCTTCGTCGGGGACTGCGAGGACAGCCTCAAGCAGCTGTCCGTGCAATCCCCCATGTCCGCCTACGCCGAGAAGCTCACCAACATGACCAGCAACTGCCTCGCCATCACTTCCCTCTTGACCAGCAACTGATTCATTGATATCGCTCATTACTTAATTAAATCCATCCTCCATCCATCCATCTCTCATCCCCTTCTCCTCCTCCATTCACACTGCTGTGCCTTGGTATTTATCAGTATCACCTCTTGCTGCAATGCAATGAAATTTATGTACGAGTGTATTGAAATTTATGTATGAGTGTATCTCAATTTGGCTGCTTTCTATGGATTAATTAATTAATTAATTATATATATGAGTTGCATGATATTATTTATATATATATATATATATATATATATGGAGATGAGATGAGATGAGATGGAGATGGAGATGGAGATGGAGATGGGGACGGGGACGGGGACGGGGACGGAGAAGGAGGATGACGATCATTGATCTTCTAATTACACTAGCTCACCTCCGATCCTTAAATCCTACACACGATCGATCGATGTTATGTGGTCTCCTGTAATTATTTAATATATATTACTAATTAATTAGCTTGCTGCTCTGCATCGTAATATTCTTCTTTCTATTTGATCATATTATATATATATATATATATCGATCTGATCTATGCTCGTGTGCAATTGATTCAAGGGCCACTTAATTACGTTGGCTTTATATCATCATCATCACTCGTGTATATATATATAGAAATTATTTATAGAAAATGCATGGAATTGCTTTTATAATTTGGTTGCGCATGCACAGCTCCCTGCCTCTTCACAATCTTGTAATGAGTAAATCACCAATGAAAATGAAGCATTGCATTGAATTGATTAATCTAAGCAACAAAAATTGAATCTAGTTTAAAGCAAGTCTAAGCAAGATTGGTATTGCTGCATGTATGATTTAGGAAGCTGAAGCAACCAAAGTGATCCAGTGCAGTGTCTCCTGGACAAGGAGTGAAGTAATTATGAATTACAAAGTGAAACATTTTTTCATTTTTGTTTTCGTGGAGTGTAGTATAGTATAGTATAGTTGCATCAAGTATTATTATATATAATAATAATTTTGATGTAAAACAATTTGACAGCAAACTGATATTTATCATCATTGTTGTACAACTTCTAAACTACTAGCTAGGGTCCTCTAATTAGACGTACAATTCATCGATCCTTTTCCGTTTCGTCACAATATTAATTCTTTTGTAACGATTAAAAAACAATAAATAAATAAATAAAACAACGAGGCACTGCATCACCACCGAGTATGAGAGAGAAATAAACTAGTTTAACTAAAATATGGATCATCGTCATCATCATCTCATTACACAAGTAAGTACTCATTTATTATATTATATATTGCTTTTGCTGATTCAGAATTAGAACGACATGTAATGTATATGAGTGTGTATGGTACGGTACTGTACTGTACTGTGCTGTGCTGTGCAGCAGGTGCATCACACGCCACGCCATGCTAAAATTGAGCATCCATTTATTTATTTATTTATTATCAGGCTAATTTATTAAGCCTACAGCCTACTGCTACCTTACCTACTGCTGAAAACGTTTTATGATTTTTGGTGGAGAGTCTAAATGCGACTTTGCGATTCGGCCATCGGCGCCCTTGGGGTAGAAGCCGCCGGGGACCGCCTCGCTCCCGCTGGCGTACACAATTCTGAGGATCTCCAGCGGGCTACGGCCGAAGGCCAGCGAGTAGCGGTCTCCGGCCAGCACGTTGCCCTCCACCTTACCCTCCGCGCCCTGCGCCGCCTCCACCACCAGGCCCTCGTCCTTCACGCCCTTCTTCCCCAGCTTGTTCCTCAGCCCGGAGATCCGGTTGGTGAACTCCGCCACCGTGTAGTTGTACGGCGCCACCTTCTCGTTGGCGCGCTCGTACAGCAGTGCGCGGAGAACGGCGTCCTGCCCGGACTCCACTCCCAGCAATCCGGCCACCAGCTGATGATGACATCGATCAATTAGTAATTATGATTATGATTATTATTATTATTATACAGTATCTTTTTATTAATAACAAATAAATACTAGGATCACAGTGGACCTCTCTGGAGGCGGGGCTCTGGAGCTTGGGGTTGGCCCCGACGTATCCGGTGAGGCCGACGTAGGGGACGACGTAGGATGCGATGAGGTAGTTGAGGTCGGTCGCGTAGGGGTCGAACGCCGGCTCCAGCTGCCTCTGGAACGCATCGTCCATCACGCGCGCGAACGACTCCGCGCTCAGGTTCAGCGCCGGCCTCGGGAACCCCTTCACCGCGTGCTGTATGGCCCTGAGGTGGCCGAACTCCTGGTAGGCAAACTGCGTGATGATGTCCTTGATGAGCGGGCTGAGGCTGGCCTGCTTCACGCCGGCGGGGGGCGGCCCGCCCTTTGCGAGATCCGGGGCGAGCTGGTCGAGGCCGCGGCCCAGGGCGCCCCACGCGAAGAACTCGGCTTCCAGGTACTCCAGGTTCAGCGGGAACTCCAGGAGGTCCACATCGGATTTTGGGAGAGGACCACCAGTATCATCGTGCGAGGCGGCGGCGGAGCACGCCAGAATAACAAGCACGGCGGCGGCGGCGATAATTGTTGTTGTAAAGGGAGAGGGAGAAGGAGAAGGCATCATCATTGAATGTGAATGTGAATGTACGTATGGTAGTAGAGTAGGGTCTGTTGACTTGGGCGGGCTTCTTTTCTTGATAATCTTCCTCCCTTTAAACGGTACCTTCCGTCTTTGGTACTTAGTACTTGTAGTAATTAATTGATACTATTATTAATTTATAGGATGAGAAGTACAAGGAAGGAGAAGGGGTAGTGGGCACGTGTCGAGCGGAGCGGGAATGAAGTGATGAAGAAAGGCAGCAAGAAGCCCCACATGTATATATATCTTGCGTGGCGCTACCTGCATGCCTGCCGATCCAATCCAATTCCATTCCATTTTGTATAGCGCATTAATTAATTAATTGATGAGGAGGAGGAGTGAAGTTGTTTAATTTTAGATGATGATGAGGAGGAAGACGATGACCGCCTTGACTTTGAGGAGCAAGAAGGAAAGAAAGAAAGAAAGAAAGCGCATGCATGAAGTAATTCTATTTATCACTACTAATTAACAGATCAGATCATTAATGACCGACCAATTAAGTCGATGTGGGACAAGCTAGCCAGTCATAAATTGAAAGCAGGTAGGCGTATGTACATACGTACGTATATATGAAGAAGTAATATATGTTTTTTTTTTTTTTTTTTTAAGCTGCAAACTAAGCTAGCTGCAGATATAGCTGCCGATATAGTTTGAAAGCATCGTAAGTTTGAACCGATAACTTGACGATCACAAATCTATTCCTACGTAATCATCAGTAATTTACTAAGGGATGTCTGGCTCAAGACATGATGCACTTATGACACTTAGTGTTTTATCATTAATTCAATAAAGTTAGTTTTTATTAAAGTATCAATAAATTGGTTATAGTTATCAACAAGTTCTGACAACTAATTTTTCTTTACAATTTAGGTAATTAAGTACAACCGTTAACTACCTCTAATTAAGCAAATAAACCTAGGTGCGCCCATAAGAATACTGTCTAATCGCATTCTAATCTAGAAAAACTCAATTCAAAACAATTTATACCTAAGAGGAGCAAATAGATTTGATTGTCTAACCCCGTGAAGGAACTATTCAATCCGGTTGTCACATATTCAAGTGTGAATACAATTACGGATATTCTATCTGAATTGATTTTAGATTATCAAAATAATTCAAATATCGGTACGAAAATATTCAATCAATCTAACAATCACAAACGTTATTATCATAATTAGACAAATATTGATATTCAAAAGAACTTTTATAAAGAAAATTAAGAATCTCCAAAACACAAGAACCAAAACATTATCATCACTCACACAAGAAAAGTATATACTCCATAATCAATAACAAAGAATAATAGAGAAAGATAAAGTAATAGTGGGAAGGAAAATCTTCTCTGTCGATTTGCTTCTGCGCGATCTATGATTCAGTCTCGTCCTCTTGTGCGTATTTGCTTCTCTTTATTTTTTTTCTCTGCCTGTGATCCTCTATATTTATTTAATTTTTGCCCTAATTATTTTGTAGTTGGGCTTTTGGGACTAACTAGGTGATACAAATTTGGATTTTTCTTTACTTTTTATGTCAATTAGCGCATAGCAAATAAACAATATGCATATAAATTAAGTAGAATCCAATCAAAATTAATCAAATATCGCATATGATATGAATATAAAATGCATACGATTTCTAATTATATATATACACATACAATTAGAGGGGGCGTGAAAGAGCTGAGATCTAGAGGCCACCTATACGTGGTATATAAATAAATATATATGTATAAATAATTACATATATATCATATATAAGGTATATTATAGATGGCATGAAAGACCGGATTTCGAGGCTGGTGATCCATCCCTATATATATACTACTATCAATCAAATTAGCTAGCTACGGTGATAAATTGAAATATTTGATTGTAGCTTAATTGCTAGCTTACTGGTGATTTTCATTAATGATGATTTGTGTTATATATGATTTATTTTGCAATATTTTGGGCAATCTTTTTATACAAAATTTTGTATATATACTCCTCATAGTGTGTTTTTTATTGTGTAATAAGTTTCATGGAATTGGCAAATTTTGGGGCGTATTTGGGAGAAAATGAGCAGAACACGCAAAGGTCTTAGGCGTGATCACGAGAGTACAATGTGAAAAATGTGAAAATTCACAAAAAAACCCTTCGAGATAAATTGGCATTATAAAGATTACGAGGGATTTAATTGCTCAGGGGATCTAATTAAAAATTGATCACGGGATGGAGAATTAAAAGACTCAGTTTTGCAAATAAAGATGGAGGAGAAAGAGACTACCATGTTCTTCGCCACGACATTATTTCTTGAATGAGAGAAAGGAGAAACGAGAACACGGCAAAATGCAGAGAACTTGGAGGAGGATTGCACACGACTTTTCGAAGCATTCTTCTTCTATTATAGTATTGTTCTTCCTTATTTATTTGAAAAGAATTGAAAGCATGATAAACTTTTTCAATTGTTTTTTGTTTTCAATTTCTATGAATTTTGAGTAATTTCATTTCTAGCGTAGGTATGAATTGATGTTTGGGATTGAATTTGTGAGATTGGTTTTGTTTAATTTGGTGTGATGTTGGGTATTTTTAATTCTTCTAATTTACGAGTTTAGAAATCTTAAATTGATTATTGCGCACGTATTTATTTGAGATTTCATAGCTAAATTGGATATTGTCACCCGTAATTGTGTAATACCTAGAGGAAGACTCTACAGAAGAATTGGAATCAATTTTAAAGACGTCGAGTCAATAAAACTACGGTCGTACCTAGGATTCTCATTCGATTAGGGAAATAGCTAACGGTCGTATCTTAGCTATCGACAAAGTAAGGAAAAGTTGGTTGTGAACGCGTGTAGATTAACTATAACCTATTTATCCAACTAGTCAATAAACTTGATTTTTAGTTGATGGACAAATTTTATATCCCAAACAGAAAAATTTATGCGTATGCTCGAGTTTGATTATATTTGATAAACCATCTTGCATTTATTTTATTTTATTTTATTTTATTGAGTGAATTTATTTTCTCAAATTTAGTGTGATAAATCAGACCCCCTATTATAGTATAATCATAAATAACCGAATAGTCAATATTGTTGTTGTTCCCTGCGGAGACGATCCTACTTACCGAACTGCTGCATTTTGCAAATTTTTTGTGGCATAGGAACTTTATTTTCCAAATTAGTATGTACTACTCCCTCATTTTCAAATAAAATATTTACTTTTTTTTATTTTGGTTTTTTTCGTATAATTTGTTTACTTTTTTTTTTAAAAAAAAGTAATGATTATATATTTTAATTTCATTTTAAATTTTATAATTTATAAATTTTTAATTAAATTATTTAATTATTTTAATTTTAATTTATAATTATTTTTACAAGATACATTTTTTTAATTAATTCTTAATTATATTTTATATAAATTTCAATATTTACAATAATGTAGAGAATTTAGCCAAGACAAATAGAATATTAATTATATGTATGTAGGGTCGGGTGGTAGAGAAGAGAAAATAGTAATGGCCACCAACCCATATACTTTAATACTAATAAAACACATTAGGCCCTTTAATGTTTTATTCCACGCATAAAAGCCCAACGAAATATTATTTCAGTTAGTCGGCCATTGGAGCATTTAATCGTTCATGGGAGGTGGGATGTGCTAGACTAGACTGTTTCTTTGAGATGAGACATAATCGTCGGGCTTTTCTGCTCAGAATAAGATTAAAGGGCCTAATGTGCTTTATTAATATTAAAATATTACGTGCATATATAGATATATGAGTGTTTTTATGTATTTTTATGTTATATATATATACTTTATTTAAAATTAGTAAATTTGTAGGATTCCCGTTTGCAAATATATAAATTAGTGACGGTATTTTTAACCTTGGAGATGATCATTTTATACATGAATATAGTAATATAGCATCAGAGTCTAGGTGTTGAAACTCAGGATATAGCCTCTAAGCAGGCAGGGCGGGCTAAAGTGGGCATGGGCGCGAGTCACTTCATTCAGGCTATAGTAATAGTATGGTAGAAGGACCACGCTCGCTCCCTGCCTGCCTGCCTGCCTTGATCATAATGAGTAGTAGTTTATGTAGTGGTGCTGCCTCCTCGATCCTATCCTGCATTAATTAAGTCATTCATTTAATATTTATTTATATATGTTTGATTCATTTTAAAAATACTATGCAGCTAACTAGCTAGCTAGCTGCTTAAAATTTAATAAAGCTAGATCGATGCATAATTAATTAATTATGGAGTATCTATGAGGAGGGAGGCAAACAAACAATAACTAGTGTGTATATATATATTATAGAGCAGCGCGCAGTGCATCATCATATGCATCCCCAATTAATTAAGTATCCATCCATCCATCCATCTCTAATTAGAACGACCAACATGACCAAGTGCATGAAGAACTTGATTATATTGCTAATTAGCTCTCTGATTCTGACTTGGAACCCAATCCACTCTTCATCATCATCTGCCCATGCGAATGCAATACTATCATCCCAATCCCAATCCCAATCCCAGAATAACAATCATAATGCCGGGCTGATCGAGTCTACGTGCAAGAGCTCCGACAGCTACTCGCTCTGCGTCTCCACTCTGGAGGCCGACGGCAGGAGCGCCAACGCCTCCGACGCCAGGCAGCTGGCCCAGATTCTGGTGGACGCCGTCAGAGCCAAGGCGGAGCAGGCCCTCTACAGCCTCCGGCAGCAGCCGTCGGTGCAGCAGTGCTCGGCAGCCTACAGGAGCATCCTGGACGAAGATGTGCCCAAGGCCCAGCAGGGCCTGCAGACTGGGAACCCGCAATTGGCCGGTGAGGGGATGGCCGACGCGGCCGCAGCTGCTGCGGCCTGTCAGCACTCGCTCGTCTCGGCCTCAGGCAATAAGCAGTCGGTGCTGAGCGTGGTGAGCCAGGTGGTGCGTGCCGTCGCCCAGATCGCCAGGTCCATCATCACCAGCGTCCTCTAGACTAATTATTAATTAATCTTCTCATGATTAATACATACATACTACTACTGCTACTCACTCTAGGGATCCATGTGATCAATTCGATTGATCAGTTTATGAATTAGTTATATAACATGCATGGATCTATATATATGTGTATGTAGTGGGGCAATAAACATGTTCGAATTCATAATAAATCGTCTCTAGACTAGCTAGAGTAAGACCGGATCGGAGTTTTTATTTTATTTGCTGTTGTTGGGAAAATGTTTTATTTAATTTGGTTTAAATTAGTTCACTTATTAGTAGATTTGAAATCCCATTCCTATTCAATAAGTTTAGACTTGAAATAATCAATTGCATAAGGTATGTATTGCAAATTATAGTATTATGCTTTACTAATGTATTAATGGAACATGCATGCCCCTCCATCAATCACTGCAAAAATATTTGCAAACTAAACATTGTTCGTTGCATATAATCAACCTGGATCGAAAGGTGATGAAATGCAATGGTCTCACTACTCTCAAGCATATGTCTACATGAATCTTGTTTGTGCTGGGTATCAGTAACAAAGTCTCAACAAAAATGGCCTGACAGATCATTGTATTGTGAAAGTTCAATTTTCAAATCATTGTATTGTTTTGGATTATACGAAATTTATATTGGAATAATATAAATACTCAATTTTGATTTCATGCTTTCAGTATATCTACTAAATATGAATTGTATATATAAGAATTGGATTACAACATGTCTATATAAAGAGTGTACACAGCCCCCATCAGCTACTAACTAGACGGACTAATACAATGGATTATTACTAACACTCCTCAAACTCAAGATGGTAAAGTAAAAATTAATTTGAATTTGTTCAAAATTCTAGAAAAATGATCTGACAAGAGGGATTTGGTAAAGATGTCCACAATATGATCTTCGAAAAAAATAGGGTACAAGCGAACATTGAAAAGTGTCTGTACAAACATACTATCGGACAAAATAACAATCAATTTCTATATCCTTGGTGCACTCATGGAAAACATAATTATGTGAGATTTGGATAGCACTCGCACTGTCATGATAGAGAGAAGTGAAAAATGAATGAGGAGCCTCAAGATCGGAAAGAAGTCAATAAATCCAAAGTAACTCAGAAGTGGAATCAGCAAGTGCAAGATACAACTGTCTGTTTCTTCTCAAAGTTCAAAAAATAACAGAGTTGATCTGTAAATTATATATACCAAATACATTAGTGTGTTTGTTTAAAGAATTTGTCCCAAATCCAACAATTCATCCAATTTCATCCCCCTTCCTCCAAAATATCAAATCAAACAACTATTTTTTATTTTTATATTATATTAAAAATTAATTTTACATTCAAAACATCATATCAATACCTATTTATATCACATCATACAACTATTACAATTCAAAATTTTTACTATTCAAATCTCAATTCAAAATGGGAGAGTCGTAATGAAAAGAAAAAAACCTATATTGAAGAAGTACAACGATGAATTCGGTGAATTGAACCAAGCTTGGAGCGTATGTTTCAGACCATAAAGGGCATGGTGCAACCTACCTATTTTTCTGAAAAAATATAAACTAGATGGGTGACTGTTGGGATATGAAGCCTGATTATATCCTAAAATCTAGGATATGATTTGGATATTATATTTTAGATTTTAGAGATATAATTTTGATATTATTGTCAAAGTCTTAGGCTATAAATATCCATGTATTCTCACTTTAACATGTGCCTGCGTACTTTATAGTAAAATTCTTGGCTTGGCAGGGCCCCCAGACGTAGATCATTGTGATCGAACTGGGTTACCAAATTCTTGTGTTCTTTTGTCCTTGTTATCTCATCTTGATTTCCTGGAAATTTCCGTAACAGTGACTCATGTAGATTTCCTTGGACAGATTCCCATGCAAAATAATTATTTACATTCAAACGTAATAGGGACCAATGACAAACAACCACAATGGCAAAAAAAGTGGACAGTGGTCAACCGAGCAATGGGAGCAAAAATGTATATGCAACAACAAATTCTCATTCAAAAATACATTCTTCACATCCAACTGTAATATGGACTATTGATGGACAGCCACAACGGCCAGGAGAAAATGAACAGTAGTCAACCGAACAACGGGAGCAATCGTGTGTATACAACAAACATGATCGTATTGTTGCAAAGAATACATAAAATAATTGTGCATCAGAATCATACAGCTTTGTAAACACGGAGATTTTACAAAATATGATTGTGTTCCTTATACACGGCTGTATATACGTAAATAAGTGTGTCTAGATGAAGCAGCGTCGTGTATCACAAAACGCCGCTTTGTATAAATAATACCTACAGACACATTTGGTGTTCAACTTGGTATAGCTAGTCAATCAAATGCGGTTGCCTTGATGTCATATGTCGATAGAATCCGTTAAAATCATAACGGAATTACGGAAATTGTATATTTTCGATAGAGATGTGATCAATTTTATATGGAAAATTAACATAAAAACAAGTTTTGCACAAACTAACCCGTAATAGGACAAATGGCATTATTTTCTTCTTTTGCTCTTTTAATTCACTTGCACATGCAGATGATTGTATCGCATATTTTTGTGTTATAAATAATATACTTGTATCCCATTTACGAGTGATCAATATCCATTATCACATCTAATCCCACTTTATATATATATATATAAAAGTGGATTCAATCAATAGACTTAATCCTAATCTCCTAGTGCAAAAAAGGCAAAAGCTGGAAAAGCAACGGTTCCGATTAGATCAAGAAATGTATATAAATATGTCCACATGTCATGTCATCTTCTCTTATTATTGTAGTAATTTATTTCTTTTTTATCTTCTTGTCTATTTATCTCTGCTTTCTTTGTGTGTGTGTGTGTGTGTGCCGTTTAAATACTCCATCCCCCTCCCTTGTCCCTTCCCCTATGCAGAGACATGTAACAACTAAATAATTTATTATTATGGCGATGAGGACTCAATTCCAGCTGATCTCTCTTGTTTTTGTGCTGCTGCTGCTTCTTCTTAGCACCACCACCACCACCACCGCCGCCGCCATCAGCAGTTCTCAATATTCCCACCTCATCGAATCCACCTGCAAGAACACCCCACACTTCCAACTCTGCATGACCACGCTGCTGCAGGGAGGGCACGGCACCACCGCCGACGTTGCCGGCCTGGCCCTCATAATGGTCCGGGCTGTGAGGGACAAGACCAGAGCAGCCATCTCCACCCTCAAAACTTATCCGACGACAATCGAGAGGGGAGCCGACCCCAGGCTGGTGCGGGCGCTGCAGGACTGCGCCCGGGCATACAACGCCGTCATGGTGGCCGACGTGCCAGAGGCAGTGGAGGCACTCACGAAAGGAGACCCCAAGTTCGCAGAAAATGGGATGGCGGACGCCGCCGTGGAGGCCGATGTCTGTGAAGATGCTATCGCTGCCGCCGTCGGAGCAGGGGCGAGAAACCCATCGCCAATTGCAATGAGAAGGATGAATAAAGCAGTGAGGGAACTCGCCGAGGTTGCTAGAGCCATTATCAGAAATTTGCTTTGATTTAAATTATTAAATGTAGAGATCGGACTGCTTTAGTTCAATTCGTGTTAAAGAATAAATACTACTATCTATTGCGCCACCACGTGTATGTATGTAAGTATGTAGCCTGTAGGTAGCTTTCTTGATCACTGATATGGCCAAAATGTCATGTTAATTGAAAAAAAACAAAACAAAAAAAAAAAAAAGGATCGAAATCCCATGCACAGACAGACAAGCCAAGACAAGCCAAACCCATGAAACAAAAAAACCAACAATTTATTCTCAGCACCTCCTGAAATATCATCATATCCGATCGAATTGCCTAACAAGAAAGAAAGCTTAGCTTTACTTTCTCTATTTCAACCTTGCTGCTGGATGATGGCAGCTCCACTCGATGGCTTCGAAGCGAAGACGTATAGGCCAAGATCATCCTTCCGGATAACCCCCTTGTCGATTCGTGACTGGAAATATTGCTCCTGAAACCACCAATTCAATGGCCACCATGCATGTTCATGCTGATGTTCATATGACATACATATATATCTCCAATTGAAACTGGAACGCCGGCAACACTAACCTTCAAGTTAAGGATAAACTGTGGAACGATACTCTCCTTGACCAGAGCAACAGCACAGCCACCCCATCCAGCTCCTGTAAGCCTTGCTCCCAGAGCACCATTGTCATGGCAGACCTTCACAAGCTCTTCCAATTCAGGACAGCTGATTATAATGGCAGATCGCACTAGGGTCAGATTAATAAGCCCAGGTATATGTAAAAGTTATTTTAACACTTCTACCCTGTGAAATCATCAAAAGTGTACCTGCACTCGTACAAGACACTGCAGCTGTAGTGGCTGTCGTTCATCAGGTCCCCTATCTTTTTCAGCTTCTCTTCTTCACTGCATAAAGTGAGAAGATACTATTAGAATTTATGAGAATGTTGATCTGAGGAAGGAACAGATGAACACCCAAAAAAAAAGAAAAAAACAGAAAGTTTGCTTCAGCAAATATCAAAATCCTGGCAAAAGAGGAAGAACAGCAAACCATAGAGATATCAGAACAGTGAGAAAAAAGTAAATGGAGTGATTGAAACTCCTCCACTTGCCTTGATTCGGACGATACAGCATCTTTAAAAGCATAGACTCGTTTTGCTTCCGAGTACACATGAGCAGCTCTCTGGAAGTCATTCAAGAAGATACTAAGGTAAAATTATGGGAACATAGGATAATCACAAGAAATAAATAAATAAATAAAAGATACACCCAAGTATGAATTTTCCACCCCCTTCCCTTCTGGAACAGTTTGTCCAGTAAATATAAAAGATGGTTGAGGGCAGCCATTAGGGAGTTTAATTGAACTAGAACATACACAACAACACATAGTAAGGCTAAAGTCTATGAATACGGGGTCTGAGGATAAAAATAGCATACATAACTGGTTGGAATATATATAGAACCAAATGGAAATTTCCAAAGTCAACAACCACATTGACATTGTAAAGCACAGAGAATAGAATTACAAACATACCTTGTGTAACTTAAAATACTCGGCAGCTCTCAAGACATCCAGTGAAGAAGGAGAATTGGCAAAAACAACTTCCAGCTTTTCATTGATGATTTGCTCAATATCCTCAGCGCTGTAGGGTTCTTCTTTTAAGAATTCCTGTGGATGTATGTGTACAGCAATTACAATCTGATTCCTAACAAAGTTCAGCATCATTTACACAAACCAGAAGATTAGGGTGTTGTTTTGTGTTTTCTTTTTGTATTCTTAGTTCTAATGTTTTTTATGTGAAAATACTCGTCGGATGTGATGTTTTTATAGAAATAAAAATAAAAGATTGAAGGTTAAAAAATAAGGGAAAGGTAGACAGCAGAACAAACCCTAGTTGACATGCTTAGGCAATTGAATGTCACTAAAAATATGATGGCCAACTGCTGTCAAGAACAAGCACTTGCAGGGTAATACTCTTTGTAGAAATATTGCCTCTTTCAAAATCACATACCTTGACCGCGAGAACTGGATCAGATGAGCCACGTGTGCTAGCAAAAGAAATGCACAACTCTTCGACGTCCGAAAGTGTCTTCACCTTGGTTATTGCCTCCTCAGCATTCATCCCAAGCTTTATGCCTAATACAATCTGCCCAACCCAATCACTAAATATTAGCTGACTCAAAGTGGAAAAGAAATATAAGGCAGCTATTACATTGAAACCTATAAGCAACATCAAAACCAAAGTTACACTGGAAATAAATCACTGGATTATAGTAAAGCAGTACTAAAGTAAATGCTCTCTGAAGATTTTCTAAAATGCTATAACAGACTCACTGAAGCTAAACGGCATTCAACAACCCTGTTGTTATAATTAGTTGCTGCTGTAACCGCTTTCTGAGATTCAGCCAGTGAATGAGCAATGACGAATGTTCCACCAGCAGGAAGCTGCACCTCCGTAGCGCGAATGGGATTGAAATCAATCAGTGCTGCAAAGCCGGATTGAGCCATCACAGATATTGCCTGTGCCAAGCAGCAGTAATCACATTTCCAAATGCAAGAATCCACACATATAGAGTGCTAAGGCTCCATTATTTTGCAGTGTTAGCAACCTTGTAAGAAACAGAACAAAATACATACATGAATACTTTCGAAGCATGTAAATTACCTGATCCATTCCCCCAGATTGAGTTCCGATATGCCTCTCACATTCACAAGTGAGTTGAGCAAGTTCTTTCTAGAAGTGAATTGTGAAAAACAAAAGGAATGTTACAAGCACAAAGAAACAACCGTGCATTTTTTGTATATACAACGATTAATACAAGATATACAAAACACTGAAATACCTTGGCAAAGCTCGAGCCCAATACTGCCATTATAGCAATAGTCGAAGAGCAAACAAATGCAGCAGAGCTCGATAGACCCGATCCTATACATACGAGAAGAAAGAAACATGACTCAAACATCAAGTACAAGCATTGATTTAATCAATAGCCTGGTCAGCACTCATAGCTCGGGCAAAATACCAGTTGGAACAATGCCATCCACCATCACCTCAAGTCCAACAGTGTCGCCAACATCTAATCCCTTCGATTTGGCATACTCATAGAAACCTTTGTACCTGAAAGCTCAACAGAATAGCTCCAAAATGAACTCCTAAGACTGCCCAACACTCTCCAAAAAACTAACCAGCAAGATCAGACTCTTAAGAATCTGCTGTAAGAAAATTCCAAGAAAATCAACAGTATCGTACCCACAAATGAAATAGTGACCCCATCTGTGATTCTTCAAATCAATTTCCTGAAAAAATACAAGTGCCCGAGAAATCAATGTATATAGGCATGTGATTGCACATATTGATCCGTCGTTCAATTGATAGAATCAGGAACATGCTACCTGATCAGGATCAGCAGGATAAGTACACATAGGATACTTCTCAGCATTCACATTCGAAATCCGAAGACCCTTCTCCCTTTCGACTTTTCGTATGGCCACAATCGTGTCTTGCCTGATCGCCATCGGCAACACAGAATAACCTTCATAGTCTATATGCTCTCCGATCAAATTCACCCTCCCTGCGGAGCACACACACAACAGAAAAGAAAAACCCGAAACTTCAATTCAGTGTTTTGAAGAGCTCATACAGCAGGCAACCTAAGCGGCGAGCACAAACGCCATACCAAAGGGATCTTAGTCAAAACACAGTCATAGCCGCTATGACACTCTAATCATCCTCAAGTCAAGCCAACGATACGAAGAGCTAGCTATGTTTTTACCTGGAGATCGGGCGTAAATATCCGGGGATTGGCCAAATGATTCAATGAATTTTGACTTCAATTTGCCGAACCGAAGCTCCGCTTCCTCAAGCTGCGACCCGGTTCCATAAACGGGCTCGAGAGAGTTGAAAATGGGCACCGGCAAATCCTCGTGTCTCGCCATTACTTCTGCCGTCCTACGATCGTCAAGTTCTCTGTTACGATGGAGTACAGGGAGGAAGAGGAGAGGCAGCAAACAATACAGTTTACTTTATGTGGGTGGGGGTGGGGGTGGGGGTGCGGGTGGGATTCGAGAAATTTTGGAGTTTTGTGGGGGGGGCTGGCTGGTTGATTTGAGAGAAAAATGTATTCAGCTTTTCGTAGAAAGGAATCGACTTTATCTTAGGAATTGAAACTTATTACTGATTTGCAGGGGTGCCCCATGGAAAATACATTTATTAAAAAAAATTGTATAGTACTTCATCAGTCTTCGTTGCGGTTTGGTTTTTGTCCGTCCCATATTACTTTTTTTTTTTTAAAATAATTATACATTTTAATCTTATTTTAAATCTTTTAATTTTATTCTTTATCTACAAAGTAGCAGATATATTACGTGGGACAAAGAAAGTATATAATTAAAATAAATTTAAAATATTTATATTAAAATATTATTATATAGTTTATGTGACAGGATACTTTTTCCGTCTCACCTTTCAATAAAAGATAATTTTTTTTATTTTTATAGTAAATTTATTTCTCTTAAACATATTTAACAAATATAAATCAATTTAATTATATTTTTAATTTTTTACATCCACTCAAACTCCTTTTCTATTTTCATTTCTCTCATCAGATATCTTTATTTAATACTTTTCATTTTTTATAAAATTAATTTTAAATTAATTATAAATAAATATATTTTCTTGTATTACATAAATGATATTCATATTATATGATAAAAAAATAATAAACTAATGTCATAATTTATTATTAATAACTACTTAAAAGATAGTGTTACTAACCAAATGACTCATCTCTCGCGCGGGACAGAGGGAGTATTATTTTATAAGTAATAAAATTTTAAATAATATAAATAAATACTAAATATTATTAAATTAATTTATATTTAGTAAACTTTAAAAATAAAATAAAATAAAAATGTCAATTGAAGTGGACAAAAACAAATTGAAACGAGATTGAAGAAGTATAATTTAATTGTATTACTAATGTAATTAAAATAAACAACTTATTAATTATTCTTCTGATCTCAATCAACTTAAACTAGTAAATTGAATCAAGACAAGATTTTCCCCTTGTTTATCTAAACCAAAACGGCTTTGCATTGTGTTCGTCGATGCTGCTTTTGTTCTAATCATCTTGATTTTTTCTTTTATTTAATATTATTAAACATATATTTTTTTTTATAAAATATCAAATTAGGGGTCATATTTAATTTATGAGTATTGATTTTTAAATATTAATTATTGTATCGTAATACAAATAAAGAGAAAATGACAAAAAAAAAATATTTTTATTATTAGTATCTTATAATACTAATACAACAAATAAATATAATCTTTTTAAAAACGGAGGAACAGAAAATTAACTTGTTATCATTTGTTTATTATCCAAAGCTCCCAAAAAAAAAAATCTATAATTTAGAGATTGATCTAGTCTTAAGAGTGATGGAGGAATCCGAATCCGAATATTCAGAGAGAGAAGAAAGTGGACAGACATTCTTGGAGATTGAAAAGAACATATAAATAAATGAAACGACACTTTTTTGTGTAGAAAGGAATCAAGAAATGTGGCCTCATGCTCATGCTCATGCATGCTTTGATTTGATGATATTCCATGTCATGCCCATATATCAAAATAGAAAAACAAGGGTGAAGGGCATCTCCAATGTTGTCAATCAACAACCACTTCAAAAACAATACTTCCCCACTCGTCTAATTGTGTCCTCGTTTAACCCAACATAAATTTTAAGAAACATAGCTAAAAAATAGAAATTTTTACTTTTTTGCGTAAAAAAATGTTGAAAAAGTAGTATTTTTTACTAAAAAAAACAGAAATCTGAATAATTTTAGAAAATACAAAATGAGAATATATTTGAATGACATATGAAATAGTATAACAAATTTTGATATTTTATATATAAAATAAATTTTTTTTTATTTATACAATATTGCATTAAAATACATTTTTTATTTTTGGTTGTTGAGTTATATTTTCTTACTCCACTATTTACTTCAAATATTCTTTTAATTATAGAAATAAATTCATAAAGGTAAATTTATGATTGAACTCCACCCACCCACTAATATTTTTATATATGAAAAAATAAACAAATTTATTAATTAAAATATCAAACACAGTTGTGAGTTTGTAGATCCAATCCCAAGTTGACGACAACTGCGTCCCGTCCCTCACGTGCCTTGCTCGGCCAATTAATATTTCATTGGCCTTTCCATCCTACTTTTGTCACCCCTTCACAAAAACTCATTATTATTTTATTTTTGTATTTATATTATAGAATATCTAACTTAACAACGTTGTCTGGTTCACCTTTCACAATAGATATTGTTGATATATATATAGTATATATATATTTTATATATTGATATATATATTCTACCTAATATATCTCTTGTATAAATATAATATTGTATTCTAATTGTGTTTAATGAAAATAGAGTTTATTCCATAAATCGTAACATGGTATCAGAGCCATCCTTTTTCCCGACTAAATCGAAACAACCCACGAATTCCAGATAGCATATTTCCGATCACTTCCGACCGTCACCGCCACCACCATCGTCTTCGCCGTCACGAGACCGGCCGGACGCCGGAACAGTTCGGCGAACGGCGGCGCGTGAGAGTCACACGCGCCCGACGTGTTTTTCCGGCCGGACGCCTCGCCGGCGCGTGGGGGCGCGTGCGGCGGCCGTTGGCGGCGATCTTTGCACCGTCGTGTTCGGAATTTGATTTCCTCCGCGATGGTATCTTCACTTCCTCGGTTTGAGCAGTTTTTTGTATCCGGTTGACTTTTTGTGTTTCGGGTTTTGATTCGGTTTCTTTCGTTTCGGCTTTCGGCTTGAGGTTTGAGATTCTGTTTTCTCTTGAGTTTCTATGGAAAAGATGGATGTACATATTCCGATCAATGTTGTTTTGTCTGGAGATAATTACAGTTTGTGGGCACAATCGATGAAAAGTTTTTTGATAGGTCGGAAATTGTGGCGAATTGTTACGGGAGATATAGTTGCCCCCATTGCTCCAGTCTCTATAGGAGAAGTTACGCCTACCGCCACAGTTGTTGAATCTTATATTGAAAAATTGGAAGATTGGGATAGTAAAAACCATCAAATTCTCACTTGGTTGCGCAATACTTCCACTCCGGCGATCCATGTTCAGCTTGCCCAATTTGACACTGCCAAGGCAGCGTGGGATTTCTTGGCAGTCCGCTTCCGTGCTACTGGTTTGGCACATTATTATCAGTTATGGAGCACTCTCCACGATCTAAAACAGGAACCAGGACAATCTATCAACGACTTCCTTGCCCAAGTGCAACCCCTTTGGCATCGGTTGGATCAAGCAGAGATCAGTCCTGATCATCTTCGCCTCATTCAGGTCTTAATGGCTTTGCGTCCAGAGTATGAGGCAGTTCGTGCCTCTTTGTTACATCGGCATCCACTTCCTACCTTGGATGCAGCTATTCAGGAGATTCTGTTTGAGGAAACTCGTCTCCACCTAGCTAAGGCTCCTCAGCTTGACTCTGCTCTTGCGGTCACTGCCCGAACTCTTACTCAGAGTCGTTCTCATCGTTGCAAAAGATGTCAGTCCTCTGATCATGACTTCGGTCATTGCCCAAAGGTGGAGTGTCACTACTGTCATGTTTTAGGCCATACTATACAGTATTGCCCCACTAGACCACCTCGCTCTGGAAGTAGTAACTACAAGCCTCGGAATTCTCGTGGACCTCAGTCTGGTACCTCCTCTGTCACAGCCTCTGCTGCGCCTGCGCCTGCGCCTCCTACGATTCAGGACCTGGAAGCTCTTCTTAAACAGGTTCTATCTTCCAATACCGCCATGTCTACCACATCAGGTAACTCTCCTTGGTATTTTGATTCTGCTTGCAGTAATCATATGACCTCTGATATACGCCTTATGACCTCCACATCCACCGCACCATCCTTACCCCCTATCCTTACTGCCGATGGTACCCATATGCGCATCACCCATACCGGACATACATCCACCTCATCCTTATCCCTCCCTGACACATATTGTATCCCTCAATTAACCTTAAATCTGATTTCCGTTGGTCAATTAGTTGATCAAGGTCTCACCGTGTTATTTTCTTCTACTGGTGTGCAGGTTCAGGACGCGCAAACCGGGCGGACTCTTGGGAAGGGCCGGAAGACGGGCCGCTTATTTGAACTTACGTCACTCCAGGTCCCTCGTCCCTCTATCTCAGCTGCCACCACCTCTACACCATCCTGCCTTCAGTGGCATCGTCGTCTCAGTCATGCGTCTTCCAATAAAGTCAGGTCCTTGATTAGTCAGGGTAGTTTGGGTTCTGTTAAGTTTGAGTCTTTTAATTGCGTAGATTGTTCGTTGGGAAAACAACCTGCTCTGTCGTTTCCTCATAGTACTTCCATTGCGGATACTCCATTCTCTTTAGTTCACTCGGATATTTGGGGACCTTCGCCCACTGTGTCTATGAATGGTTCTCGTTATTTTGTGATTTTTATTGATGACTATTCTCGTTTTACATGGATTTACTTTCTGCGGCATCGCTCTGAACTTCCATCTATTTATATGACCTTTGCTAAAATGATACATACCCAATTTTCCTCTACTATAAAAACTCTCCGCACAGATAATGCTCTTGAGTATACTGATACATCATTTCTTAGTTTCTTATCTGATCAAGGTACTGTTGTCCAACGCTCCTGCCCATACACCTCTCCAAAAAATGGTCGCGCCGAACGCAAACACCGTCATATCCTTGATACAGTCCGCACCCTTCTCTTATCAGCCTCTTGTCCAGATCGCTTTTGGGGAGAAGCCGCACTCACCGCTGTCCACACTATAAATCGTGTCCCTTCCTCTGTCCTAGGTAATGTCAGTCCTTTTGAAAGACTATTTAATCGTACCCCTGATTATAGTCTTCTCCGCCCTTTCGGTTGTGTCAGTTTTGTCCTCCTCCCTCCTCATGAGCGCACTAAGTTAGAACCTCGCGCTCGTCTGTGTTGCTTCCTGGGCTATGGGTTAGAACATAAGGGTT